ATGAATATTTCAATATTTTTCTTCAAGACTATTTCAATATTTATATTAATTTGATTGAATAACTTCTTTTTAGCATAAAAAGTTGAATTTAAAATTTTTTATGTGGAGACTATAATACCTAATCACAGGGCTCGCAAATCATACGAACATTCAATGGAATATAAAGACTATTTCTATCAAGTTTATGTGAGGAAAAATCCTCAAAATATTGCACAAGTGCATACAAAAAAATATTTCCTACTTCGAGGTAGGACATCAAATTAAAAATTGTCTACTTCAAGATAGGATTTTAAATCAAACATTTTCTACTTCAAGGTATGACTTCAAATCAGAAATTGCTTACTTCAAGGTATGACTTTAAATATAAAAATTCCTACTTCGAGGTAGGACTTCAAATCAGAAACTGTCTACTTCAAGGTAGGACTTTAAATCAAACATTGCTTATTTTGAGGTAGGACTTTAAATAATTAGAAATTAAAGGTATTCAAGCAGTATCTAACGGAGAAGGTATATTTCCTCTTCAATGCGCATGAGCAATAAGAAAAACTATACCAAAAACTTCCTAGGATTTCCTTGATGAAGATTAGGCTCTTAATTTACTTTGAAACCTCTTAAAATTCTCAACCAAGTTTGTTGTATTCAACAATATCAGCAGTTCAGTGTGCATTAACAGTGAAGAGAACTCAGAAGTTCTGTGTTATGCTAAAACTGTGAGTGAACATCAGAAGTTCTATGCTATATTTCAATCTTAATCAGCACACTAGCAATTCATTCAGTTCTTATTAAACAACAAATCAGAAGGATAATAGCATAACAACTTATAGAAGTTCTAATCCTAAATCTGAGCCTAGCATTATTTTAGAAGTTCTGATCCACATTTTTTTCTACTTATGCAATGATATGGGCAGCATCAACATCATAGTATTTATATGTTAAATGATGTTCTGAATGAGAGTTTTAAAGTTAGAATGACTTACCTTGAACCTGAAGTGTGGGTTTAGGTTTGAGCTACTGCCTTTGAATGTTCTGGGGTTTGCACGAACAGGAAACAACAATGTTAAGTTCTTTGTTTCAAAGGGAAAAACAAAGGTTTTTGATTTGGAAAATTCTAATTTTATGATTGTTTGAGTGTTTCTTTTTTCTCTCTCTTTTTCTTTCGTGTATTTGATAATCCTCTCCTCAAAAGCCAGCCTCTCTCTAAAAACCCAGCCCTTTGAACGTGTGATGGAACAAACTATTTATAGATGGATTTGTTGTGGTTTTGGGGGGAAAAACAAATGAGCTTTAAACACTTTAGGCATATTGTTCCTTTGCTTTTTAATCACAGTTTTGGTTATGCTAATTTGGTGCAATTATGGGGTTTGAGAAAAACGCAGGTGTGAACTGGATCAGCAGCACCTTGGAGTGTTGTGGCAGCTGGTTTGGCAGTTTTATGCAGGTTTGGGCAGTGAAGTGCAGGTTTCACAGAGCTGGTTTTGTGGGGCTTGATGATGTTCTGAATGGAAAGCAGAACATAGCCTTTATGTGCTGAAGAATGAAACTCTGAGGAGTCATGTTCTGATCAAAGAACAAAGCCCCCATATGTTCTAACTAAAGCGTGGAACGTAATCTCCATATGCTGAGGAGTTATGTTCTGATCAAAGAACACAACCCCCATATGTTCTGACTGGAGAGCCATGTTCTGAACCGTCCTTGCAAATTCTGACTGCACTTGCATGGAGGTTGAAGAGCCATGTTCTGATTGAAGGCTATGTTCTGAACCAAATTTGCAACTTCTGACTGCACTTGGGTAGAATTTGGCCCAGAAGTTCTGACTAAAGCGTGGAACGTAACCTCCATATGCTGAGGATTATGTTCTGACCAAAGAACACAGCCCCCATATGTTCTGACTGGAGAGCCATGTTCTGAACCGTCCTTGCAAATTCTGATTGCACTTGCATTGAATTTGGCCCAGAAGTTCTGAAATCTCTTACCACTTAGAAAATTTTCCAAGTATTTAAAAAATTGATTTCTTTCTTTTCTCAAAGTAGTTTCTGATTTTTGACTTCTTGACGAACCAATTTCTTGTCTTGATAAAATATAATGGTTGGAACTTAATTTTTACCAAAAATCAAAGTTTCACTTTTTAGAGTGCATTTGACCATTTTGCCCTTGTGAATGACTTTCTTGGAAAATTGTGATTCAAGACTTGAAACTTGATGACAAAAACTTCATGATATCCCAAAAATCCATCCCACGATCCACTAATAGAGAACCAGATGCGTTTCCCTTTTACCTGATAAGAGAACTTCGAAACAAAATTAGACATAAAGAGGGCACAACCCTAATACCTCAAACCAAGGCGCTTAATTCCATGAGATGCGGGATATGCAAATGACTGAGTAAAAAATTGTTGCAAATGGGATGCAAAGTTCAAAGCCATACAAAAGTAAAAGAGATAGGGAAAATTTGGGGTACGACAGTAGGTGCTTGAAAGCTTGAAGAAACATGGATATTTAGGCATGGCATTGTAGCGGTAAAATCAATGAAGTCGCCACCGAGTATTTATTTATCCCATGTGAAAGGGAAAGGAAAATCATCGAAGAAAAACCTAAAGGGGGAAATCAAGGTCTTGCAACCGAGAGATTGGGTAAGGGAGTCGATTACACGAGGGGAAGGTATTAGCACCCCACACGTCCATAGTACTCCACGAGATCCATTCTCGTCCTTCTAGTCAAAAGGTGTGTTAAATCTAATGCTTAAGGGTTATAAACTAAGAGAGAATGCATGCAAAGAAAACACGGGGAAAAGAAGGAAATATTTACAAATTTTTGCTCGGCTGAGCCCCGTGACCAGATGCCTACGTATCCCTTTCAAGGAATCAGAGCGCCGTAGTTCGGATCATATATTTCGTTTGTTTGTATTTTTTAAATGAACAATGTTGCATTCGATCATTCCACCGCTGCTCGACCTTTGGAGACTTATGACCTGTAGTGGAAAGGAGCTAACATGCTCTTAGAAGAGAAAAGCCGAGTGGCGAAAATAAATGGATTGGTTGGTATTTTTTATCATGAAAAGAATTTTTGTATGATTATCATTTCTTATATATTTGCCAAGAAAAAGAAGTTTTAGTTTTAAATGCAATTATGAAAAAACGGGAAGAAAACATCTAAGGGAGACTAACCTATCTCTAACCTAATGTTATCATACAATGAGGGATCCTATCTAAGTTAGCATGCCAAAGAAAGTCTAACAAACTATCCTATAGGGAACATGCATTGAGAGCGAAGTCGTGATCTCAATTTCTAAATTGAGTGACTCATTGATCAACAAGAAATAAAGGAAAGCGATAAAATCCTATAGGGAGCATGCACTGAGAGCGAAGTCTTGATCTCAATTACTAAATTGAGTGACTCATCGATCAACAAGAGAGGGAACAAACACAAGCACAACACATATAAGAAATGAAGTGCGGAATGCCTGCTACGGGTCTTTAAACAGCGACTTCGAGCGCACGCTCTTTATTTCCTACTTCTCATGATATCTAGAAAAGTGATAAATGCAGAAATATAACTTGGAAGCAGTATAATACCAAACGGACAATGACGTCCGCAAAAAGCGCAACCAAAGTAAAGAAATCTGAGATACTTCGTACGAGCTGGCATCAACAAACAAACAGTTAGAGGTCACATACTCGAAATAAGCATCAAAACATCATCGATGTGAAAATAAATCACAATCGGAAACTCAAGCACATCCGTATATCACGCCATAAACCCGTATAACACTCAAACCGCAACAAGCACAAGGTGAATCACCAAATCTTGACAACAAAAATGGTTACTAAACATGAACAATAATAAAAAATTCTTAAAAATCTAAAGAAGAAAATTCTTAAAAAAATTCTATTATGCCCTATTATTCTTTATCATTTTTATTATAAAAAAAACTTCTATCAAAACTAAAAACTTAATTCCTAAATCAGTAAAAAACCAACAAGTTTTTGTTTTTGTTTTTGTAATATTTTTATCCTAATCTTATCACAAACTTTTAAGAAAAAAAAACTCAAGCTGAAAGGGGGTGTTAATTGGAATCTGGAAGTGTAAAAAGGAATTAGGCCTAGCATGTCTGGCCCAAACAAATTTTGAGTGAAGTCTAGATTTTTTCTTTCTTTTTTTGTTTATTTTTTAATTTAAATTAAAAGAATTAGTAACAAAAACAAATTTTAAAAAAAAGGAAAAGGGGCTAGGGTTGAAATTTATAGTGTCGATTGGACTACTCTCATCGTTTCGTTACTCGCTTCCAAAAAACATCGTCGCGGCCTCATCGGAAGAGAAGACCTCTCCGCGATTCAATACTCTCTCTCACCGATCTCCTCTCCGTAACCCCCCGTCTCAAACTCGTCCCGTCTCCGGCGACCTGCTTCAACCTTCCTCAGCTTTTTCGACTTCGTCTTTGCAATCCGCTTCATAACACTGCTGATCTTCAACATTCATCGCCATCTCGCTTCTTCACTCTGCGCTTCAGAAGCATCGTATTCACTTTCAAACGTTCTTGATTTCAATGTTCATCTTTATCATGTCGTGGTGATTCTGTCGAATCCAGAGAACTCCGTGCTCGATCTCCTCTCACCTTATCGCCATCGTTACTCGATCAATCAACTCATATTCCTCCTTCGAACTCAACTCACCACCGATTCAAGGAACAACAACAACTACATCACAGACTCAAGTACACGGAAATGATCTAAGATCTCACAAGTTTAGGTATTACCTACCTGAGAAGTCTGGTGGTCTTCAGAGATGACGAAATCTCCGAGAACTCGTGAATCCTTCGTACAGAACTCAGGTACGGATTTAGGATTTCATCCTTTTCTTCCTCGATTTTGTGATTTCTGTGTCGGAATTTGTTGTGATAGTGATGTTGTTGAATGAACGTACATTGATCTGTTGCAGATTGAGATTACAGGCACAATTAGGTTGATGCGTTATCCGTGTCGCAATGAAGATTGAAGGTTGTTGATGGTGATGAAGAGAGAAGGAGTCTGCGTGATGAAGGTTTTTGTAGAGGTAGAAAGAGGTGAAAGATGGAGAAGGTTGAGGATGAAGATGAGAATTCTTCTGAAATCACGGATATTCCAAGGTGAATATTTGGTAGCTTTTTTTGATTTCTTGCATGAATGAATCCTCCTCCTCTCAATTCTGTTAGAGATCTGTTATATAGTTCTCAAAATCTGTTAGAAACTGTTGCAAAGTTGGTTAGAGAAAAACGAATCTGAGCCATCCATTCTAAATTTCTATTAGGACAATGGAGGGCTACGATTGGATCGGCTATTAGTTTGAAAATGCTGCAATTCTGTTAGTTTCTGTTATAACTGATGTGATGAGCTGGCAAATTCAGTTAGTTAGAGGTGAATAGGATTTTTTTTTGAAGTTTATATTAAGCTGTTTCTATTAGCAGTTAGTTCGCTTTGTATTTCTTTTTAATGAATGACTTTTGATTTTCTCGCTCGCGTGAACTAGTACATCATCAACTTTACTTGGTGAATGCAATACTTGAAAAGGTTTGGTTATTGGATTCGACCGTAGCATCTATTCAATGGGAGGTTGGTTTGATTGATGCGTTAATCTCACACCAAAAGTGGCATAGCAGTAGTTCCAAATTACTTCCGACATCAGCAACATGTTGAGTAGAAGGCTTGATGTTAACTGAAGAATATGTTGCGTGCTTTATTTAGAATATTCGTCGTAGCTTGTGTTGTTTACATGTAAGTGTGAACTGTTTTGGGGTTTCTTTTAGATGTGCAATGCTGAATTTGTATGGTTTGAAATGTATGGAAACAGAGAATTGATATGGTCGCAGGGTCTATTCATGTTATTTGTTGACTGGTTTTTTCGCTATGTGCATATCTGTATTATAACGTTTTTTCTGTTTTGTAAATGGAAAGTTTTAATGTGTTTTTGTATTGTATATGATGTATGTATTTGGCCATAGCAGATGGATATGTTCTGGTTAAACTTGAACTGTATTGTGCTTAGCTTATGGAATGTGTCTTGGGTTTGGGGTGGCATTGTGATGACATGTGCTGTAGTGTATTAGCCTTCAGCCCTGTCACAAACTTGTTCATTTGTGCATGTTAAATTGTGTTGTTGGAACTGATGTAGACATTGATGTGGCGGGTTATGTTCGGCGGACATCTGTAGCAGCAACCTAAATATTAGCAATGGTGAGATGGCTCGAAATAGGTGAAGTGCAAAGTAACAACAGAATCAAGGTGAAAATGGCGGTTATGATGAGGCTCTTCGTTTGAAGGATGAAAGACGAAGTCTAGATTTTGGATGTATTTGATATAATTCTCATTTCCTATGCGGTGTAGTTTATGGTATTGAAATATAGTATGGTGTATTAGAATGATGGATGTAATGTTTGGAGATTGAATCTTGATGTAGTACGTGATGTAATAGAAATGGTTTTATGTATATGGAATAGTTTGGAGTATGAATTGAGATCGAATGTAATGTAATGTAACTTGAATAAGATCACTTGAAAATCTTGATTCCATATACTCTTCACAATATTTTTCATGCCACTTCCCTTTACCTCCACCAGTGAAATGTATCGCCACGCCTAAATGACCCGAATGAAATGCCTTACATGCATCTTTATCCATGAAACTTTGAGCTTCCACTTGAGATAATTGAATCAAGTCTATAAAAGATATAGCTTGTATCACAAGTAGGCCACTTATTTAGATGAGATATCTTGCACTAAGTGTCTAAAAATCCTAATTGGTGATGTAGATTCACTTGTCTCTTCCTTTGGATTAAGCCATGAATATTTCAAGATCCATTTAATAACTTACACTTCAAGCAATGATTGAAACCCTAACTCCCGCGAAGATGATAAGCATAATAAAGTGATGACTGCCTTAGGATTCAAGCAATTATGAGTCTTCTTTGATGGAAAAGAACCGATAGAAGCCTTAACTCTCCTCTTAACAAATTAATGATCATACACATAGAAGAAGATATCTTGATTCCAATTCAATAAGGAAAGTTCTACTGCATATCCTTTAGAAGACCGCTTGATTATATCATGTAATTGGAAGGGAATCTCAGATGAAAATCATGCTTGAAATCTTGAAGGAGAGAAACTCAAAATAGCTTTAGAACCAACTCTACTTCAAGAAAACCTCAATTGAAATCTTGATGAAGCATTAAGCACCACAAATGAAAATCCTAATCCCCTTTGCTCTGGATGAACATTCGATGAAGAAAGGAACCCACAATAACCCTGATTCCTTGAAATCTTTGATTCCATGCTGAATTTATTGACTAATAATGTACGATGTGTTAGATGACAGAGGATCTTAGGGCCAAAATTGGGGTATAACATTTCTATCCATAGATTTTATAAAATCCACCATACGGGTGTTCCAACAATCATAGTTGGTGCCATCTAAAAATCAAAACGTATTTGAATTAACGACCTCGAATTCGATACAAGCCATCATCATAAATTTTCTTGAATCGATCTTGAAAGAAACACTTCACAATAATGAATCAATTCTCTACTTCACTCTTCAAATTCAAGTCAACTGGAAAACAATCAAGAAGTTGAAGAGATAACAGGGGATTGATTACAATGAATCTCCCAAACTCCTACCACGCCATATAGTTTCTCTTTAATCAACAAAATATCAGCTGAAAATCCAGAGTCACACTTAATCATTCGGCAAGTCTCACCACAAGAAGAGAAACATGGTTCAATCTTCTAGACTTCTTGAAAAGAAATAAATCATAGAGCAAGTAATAAAAGGGAGGATCTACATGATTGATGAACTTGTAATAAAGAACAGATGGTGATCCTTGTAGCCTTAAGGAGAAAAACCTAGCACGATGAACTTCTGTTGAAGATCTAATACCAAGCTCCAGTATAACATAGAAAAAAGCATAATCCTCTGGCTGAGTTAAACCCTAATGCCCTTATTCCTTGAAGAAACTATGATGAAGATAACCTTGTCTTAAGGAATCTTTTCAAGGAAAGTATCCACGATGCTTGTAAACCAAAACCCTAATTTCATACCGAGAATGATAAGAGCGTCAGTCAAATCAACTGAGCAAGACGACAACCTCCATTGAGAGAGAGAAACCCTAATGCCAAAGCTCTTAGATCTTATAACCACGAGACCAATGCTATGTGCAAGACGTACAAAGTATGACGAGGGATCTTAGGGGCAAAAATTAGGGTACAACAGGTGTTGTACCCCAAAATTTGCCCTCCCATTTCCTCAACATTTTTCTCATCACAAGACATTTAAAGATCAAGATACAATTAGGGTTTCCTCTGCTCAAGACTTCTCCTTGCACTGTGGACTCAAATTAGGGTTTGTGTTTGCCTAAAGATGCTTTGACCTAAAATGCCTAAGATGACTCTCATGCTTCATGTTGGACTCCCAAGTTTACCTATACCAAGTTTCAAGTCTTAATTCCAAGTTTTACCCAGTCAATTGGACAGTTGACCTAGAAATCAGCTGTATTGGGGAAAAAGTCAACTGTGGCCAATTGACAGTCAAACCTCATGAAATTTGATCCACATCAACATTATGAACTCATGTGAACCATTTGATCAAGTTTGGATCACAATTCCACAAGAAATTTGATCAGATCATCAAAAGGGTAAAATGGTCATTTTTAGGGTTTTGACTGCACAAGGGCAATTTTTGACTGTTTGACCTAGCCAATGGCAAACCAAGCTCACATATGGCCTCAAGGACTCAATGGAATTATCTTGACATGTTCATCAAGCTCAAAAGATCCCAAGTACACAAGATTGACAGTTGAATTTCCCAGTCAATTGATCCATTTTGACTGTATACTGAAAAGTCAAACTTTGACTTTTTGGTCAAAATCAAGAGTCAAGATTCATTTTTCATCAAAACATGCCAAATTATGAAACTTGTTCACCAAGAAATCACAAAATGCAAATTAGGGTTTGAAAATGGAATTTTTCATAACTTAGAATTTTTCTAAGTTATGGAAAACCCTAATTTTTTCCCAACTTTGCCCCATCTTTTCACCATGATCCATTTGGATTCAAACAAAAGTCAAAACATGAAAGTTGTAGCTTGTTGCAAAATCTACAACTTTGATTCACAAAGTTTTCTCATTTGAAGCTTGTATCTCAAGTTATGATGTTTTGAATAAGGGCACTAAACCATCTTTTAACTTAGTGAAATTTGACCTATTTTGACAAGGTTTTCTACCCTACTTCAAGGCCACTTTTCATACCCTTCCACTTGGAATTTCAAATTGCATTTCAAAGATGGATTGTAGTACACATTACAAGCTTTCCAAAATGTCCAAGAACTCATCAAACAACCTCATAACTTGAGAGATTCGAATTTCACAAGTTGGCAAAAATTCACTTTTGTTCTCCATCAAAGCATGTTCATAAACTTGGCAAATTTGAATTCAGCATGCTTAAGCTACATTGCAGGCCTCTAATCCCATTCTCACTCAATAATTCAATGCATATCCTTTGTGTTCTAACATTATTTTGCTCATTTGGATAATACACACAAAATCAAGCCTAAACTAGAAAAAGCATGTTATCTATTCTTGTAAAGTGATACTTTATGGCAACTTTGCAAATCTATGAGGTACAATGCAGATCTTTGAAGCAAAAAAGCATAGGCATATCCCACTGATCAAGACTCAAAGGTGCAGCATAGATTGAGGCATTGTACTGGCCTAGAAACCAAGTTGACATTTGCTTGCTTCACATAGAAGTAACATCCATAACTTATGCTATCTCTCATATCAGCAAGGAAACACAGCACAAAAGATATCAAACACATTCCATAGACCACATTGAAGCTTTTGCTCGAGCCATTTGCCTTTCAAACCCTCTCCATCTCAGAATCATCCTCAAACTGCACAAACAGGGGTGCCCCTGCAGTTTGAGTGCAATCTCTCATTCCCTTCAAACATTTCTGTCCAAACCTGTTCCTCTACCTTCCTTACAACATATGCAAGCTATCCAGAAGCTAAGGCACGATCTGTAGTTGCTCTAACCACTTCCACCATTTTCACATCTTTGACTTGCAGGTGAAGTTCTATAGCTTGATACAAGAAGTTTCAAGACAAAGTGAGCATTGAAAAAGCATCCCTGGACCTCAAGGAAGCTTTTCCAATCATTACATTGCACTGAAAGTCTCTCATTCTCCACATAGAAGTTCAACTGCACAGGTAAAAGTTTGAATTCGTATCTCTCTTATTAGGCATATTTAGTCTTAAGTTTGTGAAGAAACAAAGTCCTACTCCTAGCCCTGAACATGTACATAGCTTTACTTTTCATTTCTTTTGTCTGAGTGAAGAGAATTTGAGCTCTGAAAATGGTAGAAAAACTAGGTCAGAAAAGAGGGGGAGAGAAATTCTCTCTCATCTTGGAGAGATAGGTCATGTTCTTTATATGGTTGAAACCGTCTCTTAATGCTCTACACTTTTCATGTTATGAGTTTTGCTTGAAAGTCCAGGAATCCAGAGTTAGAAAACGCGTGTTCTGTGAGAAGAAAGATGTACAGAGGTTGAAGAAGAAGTGATCTGGGCTGGGCCTGGATTTGTTTCCTTTTCACACCCCATTTTTTTGGTTTACACCCCCTGAGCCCATTTGTTTATTTTTCAACATTTTTGACTTTTTCTTTTTGGGTTGACTTTGTTTATTTTTTCTCATGCCATTAAAATTTTTAAAATATTTTTTCCATCATTTTTTGTATTTATGGCATATTTGTTTGTTTATTTCTTTTATTTATATACAAATATATATATATACACTATTATTAAAATAAATAGAAAATAATGTAGATACATTTTTATTTTTATTTTTACTTTCTGAAAATATTTCACACAAAAAAAATACTTTTATTTATTTTATTAAAATATTAAATAAATATTTATTTTGTATAATACTCATTTAGGGTTTAACATATATAT